TTTTGTTTTGTCCTTGAAAATTCTCGAAGATATGCGCCGCTACTTACCGATTAACCGGTACCGCCGCTACCAGATGAATAATAACCAGAATTCTGGCAAACGATTCAATCATCATCAATCAGATCATTCCTGGCACATACTGATGGGAGCGCTCCGGTTTAGCATATAACTACGTGGCGCTCGCTTATTCTCAGCCGGTCTTCTCCGTCACGCACGCTTACCTTCCTTCTAGAGCGTTCGACTGGACAGTTGGCTTCAACTGCCGACACTCAGTGACATGAGATGTGAATTAGCTGTTGCTGCCAACCAGGCAACACCACTCAGCAAAATTCGTGAACCACAGCTGATAAGGAAAGATGATGTAAATGGATAAGTCTGAGAGGCGAAATGACGCTCAGTGTAAAGTTGTTCTACTCCAAAGTGGAAGCTGCTGATACAGTTGCGGCGAGTGATCAATCAGCAAAGTGCCGCCTGCTCACTGCTCCAACAGCAGCTTCCTGCCTACCTCCATTATGCACACCAGTAGAAGACGATTCATAATTTAAGAGTACTGCACTCTTCGAAGTGCTGGCAAGAGCAGCACTTCCTGGAACGTGAACACACTTGCGAAATTTTGCAAAAAAGTTCTGACATTTGGAATAAAACATACATGATTTTAAATTTCATATTTCCAATGAAAGTTATTTTATTTTGGTACTACAAATTTACGTCACCGGCATTAACATCAGACTCACTGGATCCAGAAAAAACAAAATGTGGAAAGCTCTTGAAATTCGGTTCAGTTGGAGCTTGACCCAGAAAACGACATCGAACTGATGGATAAAACTGAGAACTGCTTTGCTGCATGCCTGCGTAAACTTATAAGCTGTTTACGAGAACAGTTACCGACCAACAAAATTCTATCATGGTCGGAAGTCGAAGCAGCAACGGGCAGAATTTGAAATCAACTACAACACAGTGGAGCCCGTCTTCACCAAAAACGAAGTGCTGGAATGAGCAAAAAAATAATGAACTTACTATCAGTTTCCTGTTTGTCCTTCGTGGGAAAAACATTGTCATTGCCCAGCTAAATGCTATGTCATACGTTCTAGTAGATGAAGATGTTGATGGAAGCTGGAGAGAGCTTTTGAAAGATACAGGGAATCCTTTACCGACATCATTAAGCAAGAAGGCTCTCCCACACTTGAGGGAGAATCTGCTTGTTTTATGATAACGATGAAGGAACAAGAACACTGTGGAAGCATTTTGTCTTTGCTGGGAACTGTGCATTTGGAGTGGTACTTGTGACGAAAGAAGCCATTTTACTCTCAGAAAAAGTTATTTGCATACGTTTGATAGCAGGTGTATGCTTGCTTGATTTGCTTCAGCTTATTTTTAAGATTGCGTGAACTGACTGATAAATGTCATCTACTTATGCCGTTATTTAGTGAAGAGGAATACTACTTAGTGGTTTGCGAAAAAAAGCCCCAATATTGTTTCAGACTGGTAGCTTTTCGTGGCAAACAAATTAGATGTCACATTTCGAAAACGTAAAATAAACAATGGAGGCATAGATAGACTCAAAAGTTTTTTTTTTTAATTTTTAGAGGCAAATAGAATATGCAAAATTAATAAGCGTTTTTGCTTTTTTGTACAGCCCAACTCTTGTTTCATGCACTTTTACACATTTTCAGCCCTTTTACCAGAACGACTGAGTTGGTGCTAATAGATTCTTCAAGTCTGTCGTTGTCCTCCAGAAATTTATTGCTGAATTAAATGAAAAGAATTGAGCAAACTTTACATTAAGCAAAATTCTATTATGATAGGTCATTTTTTCTGCTCGGCGCACGATCTGACAGCCTCTGGCTTGAACATCGACAGCTGCCATCCCAATCGCTCAGTCGATCCCAGCAACCCCAGCAATAGTAATGACGCTAGCAAAAATCGTAATTATTGAGAAAATTGTCTGTACAATACTCAACTATGATTTCTGGATCACTTTCAGTTCAGTTGCTTCTTCAGGGTGCGCTCGCGGTAAATCAGCGTTGCGCACATGGTCAAAATATTTGCGGCATAGATTGAATACGAAAACTTGATAAATGAGATAGATGCCGGCCAGAATAATTACTGCTTTGATCATTAATACAATCAAAAAACGTACAATGAACTGTTGGTGATGGCCTGAAAAAAGAAATTGGCGGAGTGACGCAGTAACGGTGTGTAGAACAAACTCATACTCCCTCTCTTCAGTGAACTGAGTTTCTTAAACAAAGTAGAGATTGTTAATGATTTACAAGATGTCTCTTCTTCGCCTCGTTAAAAGCTTTGAGTAAAAAAACTGAGACAGAATGGCTTGGCACAACTGTGGGACCTGTGTAATCGTACCTTAGAAACACTAGTATAGTTGTTCAGGCTTTCAAAAAGTTGATTAAAATGCTGTTCTTTAGGAAAATTCTAAAATTAGACCCAAACATAAGTACAGACTGCTGTCAAATTTCACTTGGCCGAAAATTTCATTTGTAAAACCTATATTTCAGCAGTATTACACTCGAAAGAGAGAAAATTACTGACAGCTTTGCTAGCGGATGCCTGGTCCCCTTGACATTTTTGGCTACCTTCTGAGGGTCTCTGCCTCTCAAAGAGCGATTACGGGGAGGTTTTGACCTTTTTGGCATTCTCTAAACATTGTGTCATTAGTTCGTTGAAGCGACATCTCAATGATTGCTGACTGCTTCAAGAAATGCATACCCTGTCCAAAGGTATCCAAAAATGTTTGTGTGCTGAATAATGCTGTAGAAAACATAACGATTGTTCCAGATAGCCAAATCAGAACAATCAAAATCTGCAAAAAACAATCTCTTTGCTCGGTTTTTTTTGCCTCCAAGTTTCACACCCCGAGCGTTTCCGGCTAATTTTTTGACGATACGAGCTTGCTAACTGGAACGCTGTAGTTGTAAGTTGCTCTTCTTCTATGGTGAAAGCCAAGGGGTTCGACCCGCCACTACCACAGTCAATCCTTCTACGACAGTTCATTCGTTTCGATCGTAAATTGTTACTGACGCATTTCAGGGAGTCAAAATTGCCACTAGCTTGCTTCTCACACATTCCAGGAGTCACGGGTTTCTGCCTTTTTTGGAGAGAATTTCGCTACAGATTGAAAGGGTGAAATTCAAAATGAGTAAAGAAATTGTTGATCAAATTTCGAATACTGTGCGTTTCCTTTCATTTTTGGAAGAAAAATGACATATCATAAGCTGTCTTTTCAGGAACTAGTAAGAAAATACGCATTCTTAATAATTTCGCCTTTTCACATTTAACGATTGCTCAGAGTCACCCTTCGTATTGTACTTTCTATGAGGTATAAAGTTGCTTGTAAGTGGGCTGAGTGGTAGCACCAGTGACAACTACCCACCCAGACCGTCAGTACAATGACCATTGCAGGAGCGAGTGAAAACAAACTAAAGTTGTTTGACTAAGACGTTATTTTTCAGCTCTGTTGTGGTGGTTCCTGTCAAAGCACCATTCTGGTGTAGCAAGACCCTACTAGATATGTTATTTGTAAAGGCACCTAGTAATCCGCGACCCCACATATAATTACTGATTTAGTGTAGGCGTTTCAAAAATGAAATCGAAACTGGAAAGATGAAATTTTAAACAGTGAAATGTGTCATACCGAATGTATTATAGCAGGCCATAAGCAGTTAGCTCTTTTTTGCTTCAGGGCATAAGTAGTGATAAAGAAATAAAGCACGGGTATCCAGAGAATCAGTAGGCTCCATGGGAACATGATACCAAGCACAACCAGCCAGCTGCCAATGCTGATCAAGAACATCAGTTTTGTTAAAACCTGGAAAATACTAAACGAATAGTAACACGCACCTTTGCAGCCTGAAATTTGCCATATTCCTGTGCAAGACAGCACGCATAATAGTGCCTCCAAAAACCCGATCCATTTTTAAGCGTTTTTTCACCTTTATGCCTGTATTGCCTGTATTGGCAAGAAAGACATGTACTGGCAATTGGTTGCCTGTGTATACATATATTTTTTTTT